ACAAGTGAACAAAGTGTAGAGACGTTCTGCAACGCAACGACGTCAGACTATACTCAATAAAGCGATGCCTTTTGGTTTGTCTAGCCAATCGAAACGCTTTACACATCACTACTCCCTTTACCTGTACATCGTTCTCATAAACGCAAGGTCCGGCCTTAGCAACCTATCAGTATTAAGAGAAATCACGCTCATATATAAGCCGCCGGTAATAATTATCACTGAGCCTTGGTGTCACGCAAATATACCAGATGAAGGGATAAGTATTGACATGTACACACAATTCCGATTTGACCGGAGTAACAAGGAAGGAGGAGGTAGTCTGATGTACTTCCTGAACACCCTCACTGTAGTCAAGTTGGAAAATATGGTTCTTGATGAAGTAAGTGGACTCTGTGGGTCACAGTACACTACTAGAATGTTACAGCATTCATGGGATGTGTTGGCAGAACACCCGGTACCCTCAACATTCATGAGATTCCGCTGACTACGGCTCCGGAACGTGCATCTGCTCTCCCATATAATCATAAGATCATATGTGGTGACTTTAACCTGCCTGGACTTAAGTGGGATTCACCTTCTGGTCCAGCTAGGTATGACGACTCTCTCCATACACTGGCTATTTTGGATGGAAGCAAATTGTTACAACTCCTACAAGAGGTGACAATGTATTGGACTTAATATTTTGCCATAACATAGTTCCTATTTTCACAAATGTAGGCTCCATGTTCCCAGGAAGTGATTGGAAAACTGTATTATGCGCACTGCCACTTCCTGCAACTAGTATTTCAATTGGTACTTCCACTACACACCAAATGGTATGTTGAGACTGCGGTAGGACTGATTGACAGCAGATGTGTCCAGTGATTAGGTGCACTGACTGGGGATCATTCTTCACCGTTACAGACCTCAAATTAACCATTGATATGTCTTACTACAACTCTAAAAGCTGTCATGATACCATCGTTCCGATGAAAGGTTTCAAAAAACGCCACTAAACAGTGAGCCATTTATATCTCCTAATGATCGTGGAAAGTTACACAAACTCTTAAACGCAAACTCTCTCAAACATCACGATGCACTTCGGTTGATTCTTGGAATTCTGAACTCTATCTCACATAACCATGATCTGCGTTTGAAGGATGGAGAGAGTCGTGCACTAGCTAGCTCATCTAGAGTATATGCTCTCTCAGCACTTCCTAAGAGGCGATCGAACTGCTTAAGACGTAACACCCTCCTCTTATCCATGATACCAAAGCTTATAATGATCGAGTGGATATGTGTGAAACATTCAGCGACTTATTTGCAGTTAGTTATCTGGAAACTACACATTTTCCATGCGAAACTAATACGGTCTGAACTATTAAAAGCCACTCTTCTCCTCAACTAACGACAACAGATACGGTTGAATTCACATATTCCAATATTCGCCAAGCCATTAGGACGTTAAAATGCTCCAGCAGTGCTGGCACAGACGGAATATCATCACATTTCTTTAAATTTGGTGGTCCTGATATTTCATTATTATTGCTCAAAACATTTTCTCTTTGGAACCTTTCACATACCCTGATATGTGGAAAACATCACTTATCCTCCCTAGATACAAATCTGGTTCAAAAACACTAGCCAGTAACTAAAGACCAATAAATATTACGCCTGTAGTTTCTAGAATTGTGAAGAAAGTTATTAAAGAAAGCATCCTTCAGCACATGCTTATTGGCAACGTCATCACATCGAGTGAACATGGGTTCCCAAAATCGAGGTCCCGCATAACTTGTCATCTTGACTTCTTTAACTTCATAACCACTATGCACGACCGACAACAATTAGTCCTTGTACTTTATCTGGACATTTCAAAGGCATTTGACACAGTCGATCACTTGCTTTTAATAAGTAAGTTGATGACCAAGGGAATGGACTATCTACTATTGGGATGGATTAGGTCTTTCCTCAGTGATCGCACTCAAGTGGTGAAGGTGGATTCACATACTTCAAAACCTAGGCCAGTCATCGCTGGTGTTGTTCAAGGCAGTGTATTAGGCCCCCTCCTCTTTACTTTGTCCGTCAATTGATGTCCGCGGCTGCTTTGCATAAGGTAAACCACTCTTGTTTGCTGATGACCTAAAAGTTGCATACACATTCACCTGTGATAATTTATGCCACTTCCAAGCACTAATACAAAGGGAGTTTGATACAATATCCTCATAGTCTGCTGCTTGGAAACTTCAGTTCAATATGGGCAAATTTGGCTGGATACATTTTGATGCTCCACTGGTGTATATCCAACTACATCTTCAGTGTACGGACCTACCTGTCCATAAAAGTGTATGTGACCTTGGACTAAGGTATTCAAGGGACCTCACATTTTCTGAACAGGTAGCATCGCAGACTAGCAAATCTAGGATCCTGATGGGTTGCATAGTTCGTAACTTCCACTTCAAAGAAGTCAAGTTACTACTCTGTGAAACTTGCGTACGTCCACTATTAGAATACTATCCATTTACACTGAGCGGTATCCGCATAATAGACAAACATAAAATAGAGGGTATCCAAAGATATCCCACAGCTAGATTACCAGGACACGATTGCAAACAGGACTACAGCTCCAGATGCAGACCACTAAGTCTAGAACCACTCTGTGTGAGACGACTCAAAACTAACCTGACACTCTTCTTTAATATGTTACATAAACACACTTTTACAGCCGGTGGTGAGTTTCAGTTCGAACACAATGGTCGAGTACTTAAAATATAAATTTCGTGCTGTCTTGTGGTGTAGAATTTCTGTTTTTGATTACCGTGTTGGGTTGAGCAGAGTGTGCCATTAGTTTGAGGTGATAACTTATGGAAGTCTCCTCAACGCTTTGTATGAAAGGTTAGTGTAGGTGTGGTGACTGTCTCGTTATACATTAAGAGGGCCGAGCATACGAAGTATCGTGAAGGAGACTGTTGGTGTATTCGAAAAGCCGGAAAAGTCACCAGATGATAAGAAGTCAGCCAGTAACCGACCATATTCAGAGGTTGATTTGGAGGCCTTCACTTTAGCTGGAAGTCTGTTCCACAACTGCGAGAATTTGACGGTGATGAAGTTTGCGCTCAAGCAGGACTTGAACGATTTCATTTTGATGCTGTGGGCGTGGTTGCGCAGATCGTGCCGACCATTGTGTTCGAACTGAAACTCACCACCGGCTGTAAAAGTGTGTTTATGTAACATATTAAAGAAGAGTGTCAGGTTAGTTTTGAGTCGTCTCACACAGAGTGGTTCTAGACTTAGTGGTCTGCATCTGGAGCTGTAGCCCTGTTTGCAATCGTGTCCTGGTAATCTAGCTGTGAAATACCTTTAAACATCCTGTTAGTCCATTTGGTGCATTCAGACAAGTCCATCGCTTCTGGCTGCTGGATTTGGAAAACTGAATATATTTGACCCTCATTCATAATATTCATCAAGATTATGAATCTTTGTCGTAGATTGGTGTTAGCATGAATGAATTATACAGTTCTGGAATCATCTGTGAAGTAGACTATGTAAACAATTCATGTATGCATTCCTCCGTAAATTTTTCATTATTATCTCAAGCAAAAAGTACAAACTGTTACAATGGAAGTATTAGCTTCAAGCTTAATTTTTCTCCAGGCAATACCTGTGATGTCTAGATACAAACCTGGTTTTTTGTTAATGCGAAGACAATACTTCCACTTGTCCAACTTGTAAATTTTCTGTGTAGTTATTCTACTGGGATGTTCCACTGTATGAACACGTAGCACTTATATCTTCTAGTGACAACTGGCAGGGATTGAGGTTACCCTCCATGAGGATGAATGTTACTTGCGTATAAACTCATTCATATCTGTAAAAGTGGTGTGTGCCTGTATATTCAGGAATAAATACTACTATTATTTTCATCATCAACAACACGGGTCGTACATAGTTTGCGGGATCCGAAAACATTTTGTTGGGGTTCATAAGTGGGGAAGATTCTAGTCGACGGTATACACCAGTTGCCAAAGCATTGACTAGGATTATTAGGATGCACAGTTGAACGGAGATTAGGTGTTTGTGGTAGGTAGGATATTTGAGTGTCTGGTAGGCTGCTCGGCATCACGTTGTGACCTCTGTGCTTAAGGGAACGTGGTTCGAAGGAGTGTCTGGTGCGATACACCCCCGAGTCACCTCGTTATTCATTTCTGAAAGAAGGAGTCCGGTGGAGACTGCCTTTTGGGTCTGTTTATTGACATTGTCTTGACCACGAAGCATTTCTCTACATCATTGACAGTCAAAAGTTCACCCTAAGATGAAGCGTTTTAACGTTGGTCAATCGTGAAAACAATCCATGCTTTGGTGCATCTTCTATTCGTCTACAGTTGTCCCTGCAAACTGCATTGCTACCTAGTTTCAGCAGCGACCTTGACTTAGGGCTCACTTACTCTAGCAACCTCACATCCTCTGATCATGTGGCGACACATACTACTGGGCTTCATAATTCGTAATTTTCATAACCAAGAAGCTATACTATTGTTTTAGAAACTTGAGTTCGGCCCCTGTTAAAATACCGTTCGTTTATTTCAGGGAGCATTCGCAAAACGACAAACTTATGACAGAAAGTGTTCGGAGGCACTTGACATCTAGGCTTCTTGGTTACGACTGTGGTCAGGATTACTCGTCTTGATGATATCCCTTAATATACAACCACTTTGGATGAAACAAACCTTTTATTTTTCTTCAAGACTTCACATAAAATATCCCTTACAGCTAGTGTGGAAATCTATTTCACGCCAAAAGGCTGCCTACTTGATAGGTACTTAAGATGAGTGGCAGCTGCTCAGAACTGACTGGATTTTCAAATTTTAGACACCACCGTTTGCTCTCACTGTAATTCCGCATATCTTACTAACTGAAGGATTTAGTGATCTGTGGTTTCCAGATGCCGAGGCTTGTGAAGCGAAAGCTTTTTCTGTCCTCTCAATAACCAATTGATCTGGTTGAACAATCTGATGTTGGATGTTGAAAGAGTGTGGTGTGGAGCGGGGGTTTTCAACCAGCTTAGGTCATTCGCTTTGAGTTTTCGTTGTGAAGTATCGCCGCTGCTCTGTATGTTTCACAATACTTGTGCAAATGATATTGTCGTGGATGAGTTGCAGTCATTTATTGAGCACCAGATTAAGGATATCGAATCACGGAAGCAACCGAGTTCTGTACTTTCTGATGTTTCAAATAAATTTACGGCTATAACAACGTGTAGGTCTTGCCTAATTCCCATTAATCTATCTGCATAGCTGCCGACCTAACCTCTGACCTATTACTTGCCACGTTTGTCGCAAAGGTAGTTGAGAAGCTGTGTTCTCAACTTGAACAAAGTATGACTAACTTTGTGAATACAGTACTTAGTTTTCTTAGAGGCAGTGGATCCAAATATTGGTAGTATCCGGATATCATCTATTCTGAAAGATCTTCAACATACAGTCAAGAGTATGTGCAGTCAATATTATGGACAGGTTCCAAACCAGACAAGTCAGCCTCTTCCATCTATCAAGCTGGGTGAGTCAGTGTAGCTGATTTGAACGTATTTTTTTCCTGAAGACGCCATACGACTAGGATAGTTCCCAAATGAAATATTGTGAATAGACTAAAGTTTATGCATGGAGTGAAACAAACGATTGTCAATCTTTGTCAGTCTTCACTGACAGGAATACTGGTCCGTGGTAATGCTTACATTTGTCATTTTTGTGAGCATACAGTTTTCCTCTCAGTGATGCTACCACTTGTTTTGTCACTGAGTCCCATTCAATTGCCACTGTGTTGGAATCCAGTTCTTCTTTGACCGTGACTGATATGCCTCATCTAGTTTTCAGTACTAAGGATAGCACCAATACCATTGTAGTCTGTTTATTAAAAATATCGCAGTTAAACAGTAGCATTTAGTGAACACATTTGTTGCCCCTACTCATATCACTAACAACTTCGAGAAAAACTGAATGCTACTGTTTCACTGGGTGTATTTATAATGAACAGACCAAAATGGATTTATAATCGACCACAGTGCCCAAGTTTTACTCTGATATTAATAGTACACCAATAGTCCTGTGTTAATCTTTGTAGATTTCTGTGTGAAGATCTAATTTCCCCTTGAAGTCGTCGACCGAAGGTGCCGGTTTTATTTGCTGAAGTAAGAAGTTTTGGGCCGTTGACCACACGATGAGAGAAACACAGATTCACACTAAGTTTATTCGATCATGCGTTTTTGATTTTTTGTGATACCTTGTGAGATAATCAATCGATGCAGGAAAGGAAAGACAGGAGATGTGATTAGGGAAGTCATTATTGAGAATACGGAATGCCAGTATATCATCCGTTTTCTTGCTGTAAGAGTGAATAATTTTAGCCTGTTTAGTCGTCTCTCATAGGGCTGGCTCGATTGATGCGCCAGAAGCTTGGTACCTACAGTTTGAACACGATGGAGTGCGTCAACATCAATTTTGGCCATTGACTAGCCGCCTGAATGCATTATTCTAAGTGAGGCCTGACGTAAGTAAAGTATCCTGTATGTATCAAAACTTTGGAAAGCTCACCGGACAGACCATAATACACGAGACCCCTTTCTGTGGCTGCGTTACAGTATGCTAAAGTTTTGCAATCATGGCATCAATGCATGAAGTTCTTGGTTGTTTGTTTAAGCCATGTATATCGATACAGACTAGCCGATTGGGGTCTGCAGGGCAAGAGAAACTAGTGATTGGAGACTAGTTGGTATGGCTCAGAACTGATGTCATTGGTGCAAATGTATACACACATTATCTTCACATAAACCGCCACACTTAACCTCATTTTCTCATTTCTCCTCTTTCACTACTTTCTACTGCTTTTGACCGATTTTTCTTCCCTTCACCTTCCATTTTATTGCCTTTTTACTTGATATATGGATTTGAGATGTCGCTGATAACTTGAACCGCTACGCAGCAATGCCTGGTTCTATGTTAATTGCGATGATATGATGACACCTTAGTCTTTCCTTTCGGAGTCTGAGAGTAGTGGTGTATCGTCAACGGATTACCTGAGACGCTATGATGGATGCACATGGTAGCACTTATTGAAATTAATTTCGCGGCATCAACGTTTGGACCAACCTACCCGTTTATCCTAATCTGCTTGAAGTGCATACCTTACATTATCACTACGTATTAATCCAAACGTTTACATCATCGGTGAATAGCAGCACCGAAGAGTTGAGGATTCGCAGTAATTCATTGACACACAACAAGAAAAGTTGTGGACCCAGGATTGTTCTTTGAGGGACTCCACTCGTCACAGGTTTTCACCTGGTTATTGTCCCACTAACTCCCAAGTTACCTTCTTGTGTGCAGAAAGTCCCTAATCCAGGCTTGTGGTGCAGCATCCAACCCAAAAGAAAAGAGCTTTCCTAGTAGTTTTACACGAGACACTTTATCGAAGGCCTTACTGGAGTCTTTGAACTCAGCGTCTATTGAAAAGTTGCTATCACGGGCTGCATTCCGTTCATCTTTCTCGATGCGAAGGTTTCTTGAGCGGAAGTGTCCAGTACTAAGACCATATGGCTGCGATACTGAATGATTATTTGACACGATATCGTTAAGTAGCTTGTCAGAAATTATTTTCTTCTAAAAACTTAATAACTATGCTAGTTGGACTCACTGGGCGATAGTTATCCATGCCTTTCAATGAGAGACATTGTCATAAGATTTCTCGATCGACAGAATCAAATGCCGTCGTCTTCAGGTCCAGAAACACAACTATTGTAGGGAGTGGGTAAGCGTGACTGTGTTCGGGACCTGGCGAAATGTGAATATTTGGTCGATGCACCCACAACCGCGTCTGAAGCCTGCCTGCCTACCTGCCTATCTAGTTTTCTCAGGCTTGCTGCTCACAACTTCACTCAGACGTCGAAGAATTATACAGCCTAGAATCTTAGATACTATGTTCGTCAGGTTGATTCCTGTGTGGTTATCACAAGAGGATTTCTCGTCTTTCTTGGAGACATATAATCAGTGATTTAGACCAGTCAGATGGGATCGTATTCAACTCCCACATACTAGCTAACACTTCCGTTAACCTGACTAAGAGCACTCTACCACCATCCTTGTATACCTCAGCAGGTAGTCCATCTGGTTCTACAACCCTTCTTCGTTTCACGTTACCTACAGCCTTATCGAGGTCAGCAAATGTTGAGGGGTCTATCTCAACATTCCATTCAGTATCCGACTGGATAGCGGACAACACAATGGTGGCTGGAAGCCAGTTAAACCGTTCCTCGAAGTCTTCTACTCATCACTCGAGTCATCTCCCCTGAGAGTGAGTGAATCGTAGAACCGTCCTTCTCCACTATGGTCTCACTAACCACAGTTGACCTTTTCCCTCAGTTTCCTCAATAAGTCTGAATAACTGTCTACTGTTACCAATCACCAATGCCTTTCCTATCTCTTTAGCCTTCGTTGCCCACCACTGTTCACAGTCGTTGCGTCGACTTTTCCTCAATCTACTTTCTGAGTTGTGCTCACTCTTCATTGTACTCAGAGCCTGTAGGGATGCGTTCGCGTGTATCCATTAGTTCGGAAGGAGCTACTGATATCCACTGGCTCTTTTCAGCCACTGTTTCTGAGCCGGCTACGGTCTTCAGTGCTGCTTTCACACCATAATGGAGATGGCACCAAGCTCCTTCTGGATAAGTGATATTGTTATGTTCCAATGACTGCCTAGTCAATTTGTCACTGAAAGCGGTTTGGTGTTTTCGTTGTCGAGCAGCACTCGTAATGATTTTGTTGCCAAATGTTTTCTACGTCGATCGAGACGCAGTTATATACGGGCTCGGACCAAGGTGTGATCGCTATCCAAACAAGTAGTAGAGAAGGAGTGGCAGTCTTGTACCGATCGTCTCCATCGATGACTGATAGCAATGTGGTCTATCTTTGTTCATTGCTGAGTTGAGTTCGATGAACGCCACGTCAGACGGTGTCGTTCTTTATATCTGAAATCTGTGCTAGTTCAGAATCAGCGGTTCTCTGAGCACAGTCTTAGTGGGCGATCGCCGTTATCTGTTCGTTCCACCGGGATTCTGTAAGTGCCACCTCAGTGTCTTTCTGCTTCACTCAGTCTACCCACCTGTGCATTGAAATCACCTGCAACAACCACCACGCCTGAACATTTTTGTTTCGATAGGAGGCTAAACAGCTTTCAGTAGAACTCGTCGTTCACTTCATTTGATCTGCAGTCAGTGGGTGCGTAAGCAGGGATTACAAAGAGACAACAGCGAGTTTCACTATTCCTTTCAGTTCTCACTGTGCCGTTCAGCCGGACAGCACAGAGGTGACTATCAACTGGGATCCAGTCCAGTAGTGAGCTTCGTGCCCTAGTGCTTAATGCTATGAATACGCCTGCAGAACCTCGAGAGCTAGTCATCGAATCTCCAGAAACTCTAAGGGTTAATTTTGCCGATTCACCAGATTGACCGGAAGAGATTTGGTGAATAACCGCACTTGGGTCCTCTATGGGTGTCTCACAAATTCAGCACACATCCATGGCCCAAGTTGCTAGAGTCTTGGCCAATAAAGTTTGTTAACCAATTTGACGGATGGTGCGCACATATGTAATTTGGAGCGTAGTTTAAGAAGACCAGGTATGCTGTTCTGTGGATTCAGACCGTTGTCGAAATTGAAGATGAAGTAGTGCTAGAGTGCTGACAGAGTTGTGAAGGCGGTTGACACTTCCCGGCTGCCCACACCCATGAAAGGGACAGTCATTACCCACTTTCTATGCTATACTTCGTTTATGGGAATTGCGCATGTCATATCATGTCAACCAGAATATATCGATGCTAGTCAAGAACTGCGAAAATTCCTGAAATCTCCGTGTTTATTGACGAAACATTCAAAAACACAAGCAGCTTTTCTCGCTAAATTTTTCATCGATATTCCTGAGAGGTTCTGCAGCTTGTACTGAGTCTAGCTTGGTTTATTATTCAGTCACAGTACTCAAGGCAGCTCATTTGCCCACATCAAACTATTTAGGAGGACGATTTTGATAGCCATGGAAAAGAAAGATGAATTTGGTGCATTTTGAACCTGATCAGAGTTCAAACATACGTTCCAAGAATGGTAGTGATCTTGGATATCTCCTACTATCGTTAGCCAATCGCATTGTCATTTGTTTGAATTCAGGTTTGAACGACAAATGGGGTGCCAGGTAGCATAGTGTTGATCACTGTACTGAAAGTTGCTACCCGTCAGAAATGAACAGTGGTTAACACTAAGCTTTAGAAAAAGATATCCTTAATCTTACCGATGACTCACTGACCTTCCTTAACTACCTAAAGAAATTTCCGCTGGTCTGAAACATCCACTCTTTGCCTTCGGTTTCCAAGTCAGCATTGGGATATCTTAGAAGACGAATTTCACCTTGAACAATGCGTATGATATATTTGCCCAGTACAACATATCGAACAATCTGATCCCACACACATTTACTTGTCAGGTCAATACACATGAAACCGAGGGGTGGAAGATAAATAC